GTGATCAAGCAACGCACTTCATTTTTGGACTTCTTTATGATGTGAAGGGGAATAATTTCATGATCACTTGAAGCTTACTCTCTCTCTCTCTCGTATAATTATTTGCAATGAGATGTTTTTCTACTTTCATTTAAACATTTTGTTGACTTTGACCTTTGACTGACCAGTTTGCCTTCTATTAGGTGGGAAACAATCGTCATTAGTACCAAGTATATATTGAAAAACATAAGGTTTTAAGTTTTTAAACCTTAAGACTTAACGTAAGTCATTCAAACTGTGAAAAGGTTTCCTGCACCGACACTGTGTCGCTTTAGACCAGCCTGTGTGAGAGAACAGACGTTGCACATGGATTGTGGGGCTACAGGGTAAAGGTGTAGCTGGCTTGCTGGATGAGTGAGTCACAGTTCACTCTGTATGTGTGTGGCCTTATTGTAACTCGCTCTCTAAGAGGACGAGGTGCTCCTGCTTGCAGGGATACTTCACTTGAGAGGCAGCTCTATCACAGGCACAGGCCTGTTGTGTCGGTGCTGCTCATCCCCACAGATCTTCACTTTTACACTGCTTCTGATTAATCTTGTTTACTTTACTTTAACTTCAACTGCATTCATGTCAAAAGTGACACCACAGAAGAAAAGTCAGGGATAACATCGTCTGCTGTTGCTCAACAGTAGGTTTTCTTTGTTTTTCTTTACATGTTTTGTAAGTGAGTACAATGTTCCTCGCTCTGTGCCTGAGGCCGCAAGAGATGATGGAACATGTCTGCATGGAAGGATAGATGCTAATGCAATTATATATGAAGGTTTAATCAGGTTTAATGCTAGCAAAGGGAAGAAACATTGCCAACTGCTGTAATTATTTGTAATTACAGTCCTGCTTATTAGGGGGACAGAAGAAAATCAATTATCAAAAAATTCATAATGTGCGTTATCGCGTCAAGAGTACCTAAGAAATCCGTAAGCAGTGAGGCAGTAAGAAGTCTGCACGCTTCATCATGATAGATTATGTTGATTCCTTTGGACAACAATATGATATTATTATCATTTTTCAATTTTATTAGGTGTCAGGTGCCGATGTGGATCTTTTCTTTCATTTTGCGATGATCATATTTGATCATTGATGCTTCACTTAACGGATCAATTCAGACTGATAAATCATTTCACCACTAGCATATACTTTCAGATTTACATCGACCGACCAGCAGTTCTCGATGTAAAAAAGGCAGAGACAGTAGTCTGTGAATTCTCTTACTCATTCCTCTCATAGCTATCTATCCCACTGTACTCCTCACTCCTCATCTGCTCACTATAAAGCTGTCTTTTTCATTATTTATTAGCTCTTCTGTACTCCAGGAATTACTGTTATTTCACCCAACTTTTACTGTACATCCCATTTTTTTCTTTGATAGGAAGCTGAAACCATAAATTATCATAGTTTTGATGCACCTACACCTCCAGGAATCCAGCAGAGGGAGGATTCTAATAAAAGTCATGAAACCAAGGAACCATCACAGGTCTAGAACCACAGAGACTGGAGCTAACCTGAATTTACATCAAGGCTTTGTTGTCGAAGTTGAACTAAACTGAAATTAAAGCTGAATCAAACTACATTCTTTAAAATAAACCAGCCACTAGGGATACACTTTTGGGTAGCTCTAGTGCCGGTCCCAAGCCCGGATAAATGGTGAGGGTTGCGTCAGGAAGGGCATACAGCTTAAAACTTGTGCCAAAACAAACATGCGGATCACAAATAGGAGGGCTAGTAGATATATTGGCAGATGATCCGCTGTGGCGACCCCGAAAAGGGAGCAGCCGAAAGAAGAAGAACTACATTCTTTAAAATATGCAGCATTGACAGGAGGAGGAAAAGTTTATTTTAGGTCTCTGAATTCCTTATAACTTATGAAGCTCACTGTTTGATTCCAAATGATCAGTTAATTCAGATTTATTTTCCATTGTTCTATGTGTCTAAAGTCTTTTAAAATTAGGACAGTGGGGATCAAGGCTGTGGAATGTAACGATCATAAATGTGTTTACTTGGAACAAGTGTATTTCAATTGAAAGTTTGGTTTTAAACTTCATTTCAGGTGGTATCCAAAAGGTCTTAGAAGTCTTAAATTTAATTGCCGTAGAAACCCTGCTGTGCTGCAGTAAGTGCTGAGCATAGTGTAAACACTAGAGTCGGACTGCGCTCTGCTGGAAAACTGTGATAACACCATTTCTAAATGATCCTTTTCCGCACAAGCTTCTATAAAACAACATAATATTGGTATAGCTGTGACAGGCCAATACTGTTGATAAAATCAGTTGAGCGATATATCGATAGAGCTCCAATTTTAAAGCGGGACACTGAATATCTGTTGCTGTCTTGAGGAGGTTGGTTGACTGTGTAAGCACCGGGGACGATGATGGAAATAAGTCCACCTGACACTTGACAAAGTCTCTCCTGGTGTCGCTAAACATTACAAGGTAGAACTGGACCTCACAATACATATGTATGTCTATCGCATCACCTTGATACAATGGACATTTCTTGTAGTTTGGATCAGTGACCGTCCACTGTAGATGGATGTTTCATTGCCATGTTTGATTTTAGGTGTACATAAGGTTTGACCCCTGGTTCAACCTGTATGCAGAGTCTGAGCCTGGACTGCCAGACCGTCTTCATCCACCTGTGGAACAGATTGTTCAGAAATGAGGAATTACAGCTGGTGTGCAGAAAAGCTTTACTGACTGTTGCGCTGCATACCAGAAGAGATGGAAACTGAGAGAGGACAAGAAGAAAACTCAAGTCCACGTTTTTACCATCTGTCACTGCAGCACACCTATTCAGAAATATGTAGTTTACCTTTAGGTTGAACGACCAACCAGTATTTCCATTAACCCTAACCCTTGCTTACTTCTTTCTATTTCTCTCAGATCTATTCGAGCTTTGGCAACAAACAGGCAGACTGAAATGTTTTTAATTTTAAGGAATTGTTATAAATGATGTATTTTCCACTATGACTGAATCAAAGAGATTGAAGTTTGGATTATTGCTGAAAGATTTAGTTGATTAATTAGGTGATCAGTTAGATGATTTTTTGCACATGAAAAGACTTTAGCTTCTTTTGTAGAGTCATTTTCACAGACATTCTTTGGTGTCAGCTTGTTAAATGTGGTGATGTTGTAAAATAGATATCTTTGATCTGCTGGTTGAACAAACAAACAGTCTGAGTAATAAAAATAAATAGATAATGACAATAATGATATATTGCAGGATTCTGATTCAGAAATATGGGCCAGATGAGGACAAGCCACATGAAAACACCTTCTGGAGATCCCCCAATTTAATAAGCACCTTAAGTTAGGGATGTTCAGACACAGAAGCACACATGTAGACATGCTTTGAGGCACATAGACAAAATAAAGTAGTATATAATGGTTCTCATGGGGTCTCTCACAAAACTAAGCTTCCTGAAGTTAAAGTTTATAGTTCCAGACTATAAACTATAGAGCTGCCAAATGAGTTTACGCTGCTCAAGAGACTTTGTGAATGACCCACTGTTGAACCATTTGTCCTTTAAGATGAAGATATTGCCAGACATTTAATTTTTGCAGCCTGTAGAGGGTGGTCAGCTTGGTCATCTCCATTTTTCCTCAGCTTGAATGCAGTAGGAGTCGTGTATTGCCACTGTTTATTTCCCAAGCCAGTGCACGTCTAACCACAGCTGCCAAACACACTGTATGCTCAACATCCCATGTCACAAAACAGGACCACAAGTTCCCTGGGCGGGTGGCGCTTAGTTTCAGCCTCTATTTCAAAGACTAGATGACAGACTCCACCCCTCGCTGCGGAGAGCAAAAACGAAGCTGCCATTCATGAAGCTGAACAGAACAACTTTGGACCAACCGCAGATACCATCAAAGAGATTTGGGGAAAAGTTGTGCTGTGATCTGCTTTTGTTATTTCCTGTTCTTTACAAATCAAAAGTGCCTTAATTTACCACTGAGGCCAACATCCTACCTACAGCCCACCCCCCTCTGATTTCATCCCCCTGACTTCATCACTTCATGTCATTGAAAACTGACCACTGGCTTTATTGTTTAGGTTCAGAAAAAAACCTCTATTGTGTGGTTTACTTTCATGACAGCTGATAAAAACCATATGGTTTTATGAAAAAAGTAGCTGCTCTGTTCTCGTATTTGAAGTGTAGTAGAAATGCAGACCCACTCTGTCGGTAAATACTTGGAACACTGTACCACAGCAAATATCCAGAGTGTTTAAAGTCACCAAACACTAGTAAGTTGAAAGGCCGTTCGAACGTATCCAAAATAAATCCTATGCATATTTAAAGGTCTATGTAGTGCTTTTATCAAAACAGCATAGCAAGTCTTCTCCAGTATAATCACCTGCTATTAAGTCAAGAATGCAATAATTTGTTTCAACTCTGTGGCGCACATAATTTGAGAAAACTACCCTGCAGCTAGCTTCTAGTTTCCAACCCAACATACCATACAAATACAAAAACTACTCTGCTGGAACATTTGCAGAAAAACGGTTCCCAACCCTCAGGAGACGAGGAGTGCAGGTCTGATCGGTGCCATTGTAACCTGATGAGCCCGAGGCTAAGCTTCAGCAGTTTCTGAGAGGATGGAAGAGATGATCAGCTCCCAGTTGAGGCTGATCTTCAACCCTAAACCCTCACAAGCACTTTAATACATCCCAATTTATTAAAACATACTCAGCAGTTAACTATCATAACACACAGAGACAGGAAATGTAAAAAAAGTGCTGCATACGAAAGTTAAGATTTATTTCTTAACCTTGTTAAACTGACAACTGTGACAGCTGCACATGTAAAACTATTCATTACTCAAAAAGGAAATAAATGTGTCTGTACATTTGTTTAATTGTAATTCAAGTCATGCTAATCTACTATGATGCTTTGCGTTTTATTTAGTAGTAAGTATAATTTAGTGTGGTGATCCATGCGGTGTTCATGTGAAGGTTAAATATTCTACCTTTGCAGAAGCTCTCTCTTCTCTCCACTGATGTAAGACTCCTGATGAGGATTACTGAAATATATTCCAGTTTGTGTCCAATTCCACAAGATGCCAGGGAGGGGAAGAAGAAACTTCTTTGCAATTTACCCTCAAACAGTCCTTTGTGAGTCTTACACTTGTTTGAAAATTGTTCTGAAAGTAAGTGAGAAGCCTAGGACAGGCTGCAGGCTCCGACTGACTGCGGAGCGCTGCAGGTCCTAGTGCCTGTCTCTCCTGAGTGAGGGTAAATCATCTACCTGATTGTATCATTGACGACGGTAGTTCAGAGAAAGTGCCATAGCAGAAATACGAACCACTGCTCTTATTATAGTTACTGTGCTAATTACACGTCTTCCAGGATCAACAGTTTCAATCTGTTGTTTATTTATTGTTTAATTTTCTGTCAAACTCAGTCCACTGCAGTTCTCTTCTGTTCCTATATTAAGCCATGCTTGTGTTGTGTCACTTGACATGACACATGACATTTTCTACAGATATTCATGGTCCCATGTGAATCTTATTGACTTCCACGATCCCCTGACTTCTCAAAGTTGAATGTGAAAGAACCATTGGCTGAATTTTCCATGAAATCTGGATATCATTGGTACCCAGACTGCTTTCGCTTATATTTCAAAATCTACAAAATTTAGCTCTCACATTCGTCGCTCCCAGAAGATTAGCCCTACACTGACTTGTGTGATCCCCACTTATCCTCTAGCACCACCATGAGGTTTATATTTGAGTGTAATTTGATACAGACATTCATGTTCCCCTCAGGATGAATTGTAATAATTTACTGCTTCATCTAGCAGCGTCTTCAGATCATACTTTTAAAGCAAATACAGATCTGTATCAATGAGATTTCCATCAGCCTCTGCTATATTTACTGCTAATTGGAAAATGATAACATGTTAAACTGTGACGCTTAACCAATCAAACGTTAGCCTGTTAGCATTATCATTGTGAGCATGTTAGCATGCTGGCTTTAGCATTAAGCTCAAAGCACTGGTGTGCCTATAGTATTAGTTATATACTCTTAAGTAATTTCCCTTGTGTGATTAAACCCTTAATACACTTAATAAACTACTGTACATTCCTTTCCATTCATTCTAACTCTGAACTTCTTTGGAAGACAATTCTCTCTGGATGAATTATGTTCTACTGTGGATATGCAAAATCATTTTTTAAATATAAATCATTTTCTTCCCAATAAAATTATCACGAACCAAAGCTTTTTTTCCTGTCCACTTCGAACGCACTTCGAAATTAATTAAACATTTCAAATTTACTTCAGCATTAGTTTATGTAGCTATTCTCAGATGTCTAAAAAAACAAAAGACAGATTATTTTCTGCGACTTTACAATGATTGATCCTATAGAGAGAACTTGCATTCAGAACTCTGTTCATTCATTCATTCAGTAGTTCAATAGTTGAAATTTCTCCTCAGAGGTGTTGCAGGTGTGTGAATTCCTCCAGATGTCAAATGGGTGAAATTTTTCAACTTTCTTTAAACTGATGTAATTGTCGACACCAGGATTGAGTTACACAGTGCGGTGGTGTGAATAGTCTCAATGTTTCAAGAAAAGTTTTTCAGCTTTAAGGTGCGACAGCATAAACTAATCCAGGTGTGGCGAAATTGCATGTATGGCTCTCACCCTCACAACAAGTTTAACTCAAGGTCACCTGATAGTCTGTGTTTGAGTTTTTATTTGAGTTTTTTGCCCTCTCCTCATAAATTAGTTGATGGTTGAGTTTTTTTTCCCCGTCTTTTGAATAAGGGCTTCACTGTGTCCATATTTATGTCACTACCAACCTCCAACATCTGGATCCTAATATGAACATGTGGAAGCAAAAATCTGCTTATCGTATTATGTGTGTATTACACCCTGGCTTTGATTATTGCTCTGAAGTCTCCATGGCACAGCTGGCATTTTTAAGACTGGTCATGGTTGTGTTTGGAAAAGCTGCCCTCTCTAGTTTCTGTTATTATTTAGTGGGAATCTCTTTGTAGCTTTTCTGTCCTACATAATTGATTAGATCCAATTCTTAATGATGAACATTACAGTTAGAATCTGAATAACCAGACACCCGGGGAAGACAAGTTGCATCAGTGGTTTCTTCCTGCTCTGGCACTACAGGGCTTTGGGGATTTGAAAACCTGGCCTCCCACTGATATCCTGTAAAAGTCATTTGCCGGAGCCCATTTAGCCGCTCAGGCCAGACCAGACTCCTCTGCTGTTTATCACAGATTTTGGACATATTTACACATCGCCTGGAATAAACGTAACAGAGGAGGAGGCATGACTGAAAGTAAAAGTAGTTCTGGGCGGGTGCTCGTGTTTGGAGGACTGAGTCCTCCTGCAGCAGCTGCAGGTTCAGGTCTGCCTCTTTGCTGCATGTCTTCCTCTTTCACACTTAACTGGGCCCTGTTGAATGAAGGATAAATGTCCAGAACATGTGTTACATGTCACATATATAATTCGGGCAATGTCTCAAGTTTTAAAGTGTGAACTTTTTATATCTTGTATGTAACCAGACAGGTTTATAGAAAATGCACAAAATGGTTTTTGGTTATTTGGCAGTTGCAAGCTGCCAGTTCATACTACCACTGTGTGTTTACGAATTGTTGTGCTTTGAGTCTAATTCCAGTAATTGCGCTGTTGTCTGAAGTCAGGATGTACATTACTTATAATCTATGTAACTGGAGAACTCAGACCTTATATAATGGGGTGTAGGTTGATCATGCAAATGCTTCATTACTTATTGAGGGGGTCAGTTGTTCAAAGTGTGCACAGTAAAAGACAGAATGTTTTTCAGTAGTTCCAGTGAGGACATTTTTGCATAGGAAATTATAATTCTCTTATTTCAAGCCTTGTAAAATTGAGATTGAATATAGTCTAACATCACAGTGAGAAAACATTCATTTGACAACTTGAGCTAAATTTTAGCCCTGGCTGCAAAACCAAACCGACAATGATTTTTTTGTTAAAGTCAACCTCTTGCTGTAGAAATAAAAACCAGATATGAAACAATAATACGTACATGCCACATTAAGCTAATGCATCCCTTCTAAAACTAAACCAAGATGTCAGTTGATAATGCGCTGTGATCGCCCAGTAACATGAATGGTATCTTGCGAGGGACAACAGATGAGTTTGTGTGTGTGTTTGCAGAGTGACACTGTAACTCTCAATTTCTCTGAAGGAAAAAAAAAAAGTGTGTGCTGTGTGGCGATGCACATCTGGCCTTCATCAGCCACATCAACTCAGACCCGGCGTTTGAAGAGACAGCTGACTTCGTGGAACCGAGCAGGAAACAAGGGCTCAATCTTAATTCTATGAAACATTCAGATTTGATTACCACAAAGACATAGCAGAGCAAGATGCAGCGCAGGTCATGTTTCTCTGCCGGCAGAAGCATTTCTGGTCAACAGTGGTTATGTTGCACATTATTTAAGATGCACGCTTGAAATTAGGTCATATTCAAATATCCAAATTATATGGAACTTTGTCCTTTTGCTCATGAATCAACATTAAATTGTAATTGGTAAAAGAACTACCAGAGAGTGAACATCAGAGAACATTATACATAACGCTGGGTTACAGAATGGTTGGTCTGGTTAATATGGCCTTGAAATATATCATATTATGATATATAGATGGATAGAGGAGATAATGATATATATGGTGAGAAGCTGGTTAGAAGCGCCTCAAGCCTTGCTGCCTCAAGTGAAGGAGTAAATCGGTTTCTTGTTCGTGAGTAAAGGACCATGTGAGATCATCAGGCAAATTGGTTTGTCATCAGCAGCAATGTGGGCAAGATACTGTTCTGTTGTCGAGAGCTGAGACAGAAGGCAAAATCTATGATTTACTTGTTGATTTGCATTTCAATTTGCCTACTGTGGAGGTTTTTTCTTATTATCTCAAGGACTTCTTACCACCATGCTTTACCTTCTGCCACAACACATCTCTAAAAAAGGGCTAGTAAAGGCTGGATGGTAATAAGCTGAAAAATACTTTATCTTTAGTGTCACCCATACTATTTGGCTCTTTGTAATTCAAATTGTTATGTCGTCTGCTATATTGATGACAGAATTCTTTTGTCCCTAAAATCAGAATCTATTTTGGTGACAAAATCGTGAAATACGATGAAACAAAGCTGCTGTATTAAATGCTGTAGCCATTATCTTACTCTTACAATGTTTTCATTTCATCATGGATTATTTCAGACTTTCAACTTTTTGAACGACTTCAAACATCTCCTCGAGCGTTTTTCCCAAAATGGTGATTTTTTATTTTCTTGTTTTAGTGTCCTTTCTCCACCACCAATCCATGTTGCACTTTTTGAGATGTAAATGGAAAACAAATGTATGTATTGTCCTGTTCCTCATAAAAATGAAAGAGAAGACATTTTTAGCGCAGCCACAGTGTATTTAAGGATGGGCTACATGGGTTGCATTAAAACATTTTTTATAAGAATTGATTTTAATTTAACACAACAATAAAAAATCCAACTCTACGATCAAATATCAGGCTGCATGTGAGCAGACTCTGTGGCCTCAGGTCCACTAATATGGTTTATAGACTTGAGTCTCACAGCCAGTGGTCGCCTGAGACAAAAGTTCCAAAAAGCAGAAAATCTTTCAAAGGTATGTAAACTCTTTTGTCAGATTATCTCAAGCAAATTGAGCACCTGACCTCAGCAGTGATCTGAAGGATCTGTGCTCAGACCACCGGCCAAAACCAGGCGAAGCATGTGCCCTGTGACCTCCGCTCCGCCCCGCCCAGATTAGCCTGGGGCCACCAGGGAGATAGCCTTTCAGGATAAGGCTCCCGAACTCTGGAGGACAATGGACTTGTTGTATGTGACAGAAAAGACCATTTCTGCATTGGATTAAATTTCTTATAGAACAGAAGAATTCAAAACATTTCCCATCCACTCTATGTAATTTCAAATCTGACTGTTTGAGCTGCTTCTGTCTTGGCAGTTTAATGGTTCTTGAATCCATATCTACACCTAAAGTTAAGCTCTCCACCATTCCTCTTATTCGTAGATAATATGTTTATCTGTTCAGACTGTATGCTACACCAGCCCTTGCT